CAGTACAAACGTATTCATAATACGGAACAGAATACATTCATGTACAAAATAATTCGGAATTGGGGAAAGTATGGAGGCATTTAAGAAGCTGGAGTTGTGTAGAAATGCCTAACATAACACAAGGGGGTTCAGTTGTTAAAAAAATTACTTTAAAATTATTCAATCAGGATTTACACACACGTGTGCACGCGTAAATCTCCTGTTTTTTCTTCTTTCTTTTCAACAGTGTTTTTGAAGACATGTCTTGGAGAAATACCATTGATACCAGCGGAGGATTATTTGCAAGACTTGTGGCAGTGGGCGTTGGATCGCTATGGGGATAAGTCTCAGCCCGGACATGTCCTCATCACTTTTGAAGTTATGGTCGTACACGCTTGGAAATAAGACTTGAAACCCTGTGGCGGTTTTCGCTTTCAAGTCTTTTTGTGGCGTTATTTTGATATTTTTTTTAGGTTTAGTAGAGTCTTTCCTCGTGGTTGTAGTATAAAAAAAAACATAAAAAAATATGCTTATGAGATTGTTTAATGGTTTCAAAAATGATGTTTTATCTTCTCAACATTTTGTGTAAGTACTAACAGATTGTATTAATAAGGCAATAAATATGTGCTTGGCCGGTTTTAAACACTATGTTAGGAGTCTGGACGCTGATAATGACCCGAGCCGGTCACGTCAACCAATAAAAGGGTAAAAGGGACTGGATTTCATAGGAGTCAAATTTCATGTGACACTGGCAAAGTAGACCAGCCAGCCGGTCGTTTTATCAACCTTTTACGACCGGCCACGTGACGGGCTCCCGACCAACAGGAATGGGTAAACTGCCTTAGGTATTGATGAATTGTACCTGGTCTCTTCATGCCACATTGGTGGCTGCTGACTGTTTGTTTTTTTCATGTAAACGTAATAAACTAACACTCCAAAATATATATCTATTACGCAAAATATTACGTTGATGAATATTGTAGATTTGTAATTCTTTTTTGTGTAAGGTGTTTTTGTGTGTGTGTGTTTTTTGGGGGTCTTTTTGGGTTGCATTATTGTCTGGTGTATAAGGTCGGTCTTTTTATACATCATGATTGTGTTGTCAGGTTTTTTCCCCTCCATAACATTCATATACATGTATAAGCATATTTGTGGGGTTTGAACATGTAAATTATTGCTTCTGGTAATTGCTTTGGGAGGGTCCTTATTTCTTATGCTTGACGACTTTTAAAATTAATGTGACTGATGTGAATGTGTATATTTAATGTTAATTGTTTATGTTTATTGTCTTTTATGTATGCTTGGACCAATGGGAGACCAGTGGATTCCACTGAATGGACCACCCAGTTGAAATTAGAAATAAGAAATAAATAAATAATAAAGAAACCTATTTTGAAACTCCTCTTCAATTGACGTTTCTGTTGTTTATTAATCTTTATGCCACATCCCTTAGGTTGCGCAGTTTTTAGGTTGCGCAGAAAAATAATGCTTTTCTCCAGTCTGCAAAATGTTTCGGGAATTTGGCGTTTAATTCAAATTCTGCTGGGATTTCTTTTTAGTATAGCATAATGGTTTGTAAATGAAGTGGTTCGAGTATAGATGCAGATAACGAAGAACCGCTTCATTCACTGCCCATAATTAAAGGAAAAACGTGGGACCGTAAAAAGTTTGGCTCATTAATTATCCACCTTAAATACTTTATTTTGTTTTATCTAAGTATTGACTATCATGATCAGATATTCAATTTAAGTAGACATTTTATCTCCATACGAATCGTGATGAATACAGTATACAAGCGTATTCATAATACGGAAACAGAATACATTCATGTACAAAATAATTCGGAATTGAGAAAGTATGGAGGCATTTAAGAAGCTGGAGTTGTACAGAAATGCCTTACATAACACATGGGGGTTCAGTTGTTCAAATATTATTTTAAAATTATTCAATCAGGATGTGCATACACGTGCGCATGTTTAAATGTCCTGGATTTTTCTTCTTTCTTTTCAACAGTGTTTTTGAAGACATGTCTTGGAGAAATACCATTGATACCAGCGGAGGATTATTTGCAAGACTTGTGGCAGTGGGCGTTGGATCGCTATGGGGATAAGTCTCAGCCCGGACATGTCCTCATCACTTTTGAATTTATGGTCGTACACGCTTGGAAATAAGACTTGAAACCCTGTGGCGTTTTTCGCTTTCAAGTCTTCTTCTTTTTTTTGGCATTATTTTGATATTGTTTTTTTAGGTTCAGTAGAGTCTTTCCTCGTGGTTGTAGAAAAAAAAACATGAAAAAAAATTATGCTTATTGAATTGTTTAATGGTTTCAAAAATGATGTTTTATCTTCTCAACATTTTGTGTAAGTACATAAAGATTGTATTAATAAGGGAATAAATATGTGCTTGGCCGGTTTTAAACACTATGTTAGGAGTCTGGACGCTGATAATGACCCGAGCCGGTTACGTCAACCAATAAAAGGGTAAAAGGGACTGGATTTCATAGGAGTCAAATTTCATGTGACACTGGCAAAGTAGACCAGCCAGCCGGTTGTTTTATCAGCCTTTTACGACCGGCCACGTGACGGGCTCCCGACCAACAGGAATGGGTAAACTGCCTTAGGTGATGAATTGTACCTGGTCTCTTCATGCCACATTGGTGGCTGCTGACTGTTTGTTTTTTTCATGTAAACGTAATAAACTAACACTCCAAAACATATAGCTATTACGCAAAATATTACGTTGATGAATATTGTAGATTTGTAATTCTTTTTGTGTAAGGTGGTTTTTTTGTGGGTTTTTTTGTGTGGGTCTTTTTGGGTTGCATTTTTGTCTGCTGTATAAGGTCGGTCTTTTTATACATCATGATTGTGTTGTCAGGTTTTTTTCCCTTCATAACATTCATATACATGTATAAGCATATTTGTGGGTTTTGAACATGTAAATTATTGCTTCTGGTAATTGCTTTGGGAGGGTCCTTATTTCTTATGCTTGACGACTTTTAAAATTAATGTGACTGATGTGAATGTGTATATTTAATGTTAATTGTTTATGTTTATTGTCTTTTATGTATGCTTGGACCAATGGGAGACCAGTGGATTCCACTGAATGGACCACCCAGTTGAAATTAGAAATAAGAAAGAAATAAATAATAAAGAAACCTATTTTGAAACTCCTCTTCAATTGACGTTTCTGTTGTTTATTAATCTTCATGCCACATCCCTTAGGTTGCGCAGTTTTTAGGTTGCGCAGAAAAATAATGCTTTTCTCCAGTCTGCAAAATGTTTCGGAAATTTGGCGTTTAATTCAAATTCTGCTGGGATTTCTTTTTAGTATAGCATAATGGTTTGTAAATGAAGTGGTTCGAGTATAGATGCAGATAACGAAGAACCGCTTCATTCACTGCCCATAATTAAAGGAAAAACGTGGGACCGTAAAATGTTTTGCTCATTAATTATCCACCTTAAATACTTTCTTTTGTTTTATCTAAGTATTGACTATCATGATCAGATATTCAATTCAAGTAGACATTTTATCTCCATACGAATCGTGATGAGTACAGTATACAAGCGTATTCATATTCGGAAACAGAATACATTCATGTACAAAATAATTCGGAATTGAGAAAGTATGGAGGCATTTAAGAAGCTGGAGTTGTACAGAAATGCCTTAATAACACAAGGGGGTTCAGTTGTTCAAATATTATTTTAAAATTATTCAATCAGGATGTGCATACACGTGCGCATGTTTAAATGTCCTGGATTTGTTCTTCTCTCTTTTCAACAGTGTTTTTGAAGACATGTCTTGGAGAAACACCGTTGATACCAGCGTCAGAGCTGGAGGATTATTTGCAAGACTTGTGGCAGTGGGCGTTTGGATCGTTATGGGGATAAGTCTCGGCCCAGACATGTCCGCATCACTTTGGAATTTATGGTCGTACACGCTTGGAAATAAGACTTGCAACCTTTGGGCCTCCCCATCATCACACATTGCTTGGGCAAGATAATGAATATGCATTATTTAGTTCATGACCTTGTGTTTGTATGGCCAGCCGCGCCGCGCGCCCGACAAACGTCATAAACTATGATGCATATTCATTATCTTGCCCAAGCATGCCTGCATAATGCATACATTACAACGCGGCCGCCATTTTGAAATCGCATGGAGGGCATTTTCTGGACGATATTTGTGGAAGATGATGACTAAAAGTCGTCTTTTGGCCAGATGGATGAAAATATATTTATTGAAACCAAAGAACGTTTTTTCGAAAAGGTATGAGTTGCTCTACGACTAAGAACCTTAACTTTGGAAATTGTTGTCCTGGATGAAAAGATAATCTCGATCGAAATCTGTAGCAAAATCGCTACATCAGCGGCCAAAAAAAATTCAGTCTCTGTGGAAGCATTGGGCGTCTGGCCGTACTACAGAGCTTGCGATAGTACTGTACGGCCAGACGCATTCGGGCTAATCCGGCCGTAGCGCGGTATAAACGATATCTTCGCTAGCGCTATGCATGCAGTCATAATGTCTATGCATGCGGTGCATTAAAAATACAGCGCGAACAGCGAACTCACGCGGCCACTACTTTTATGCAAATCAGTTGAACCCAATCTAGCGCCTTGGTTCAATCGTCCATGTAAGGTTTTGGGGGTGGTGATCATTATGTTAATAGCCTTAGCTGACCTTAAATGTCGTTTTCTTATTGGTCGATCGTTGCGTGGAAACTTGCATAGTAAAACGTGGCACCGTACATGATCCATACACGTAGTACGTACATTTAATACAAATGTTTGCTAATTAACACAACGTCCAAACGTTGTGTTTGAAAGGATTGATTCTTCAAAATCACAACTTTTAAACATGAAGCAGAATTTTAAAGATGGCGTCGGCACGTAAAACGGATAAACTGCAGCCCTAATTATAATGTGCCATATTTTGGCACATTTAAATTACACAATTCCAGGGGTTACGATCGCGCAAGGTATGATGGGAAACAACATGGCGCTGCAAGATCGTACCCACGGGGCACGAGGTTGGCGATACCGAAATTGAAATTCCTATTTTCGGCGCACCGAATTTACAAATCCGTTGATTCCTAATATCGGTGCAACATACGCAGTGGGTCAGTGCACCGTTGTATGTGACTGATTTTCTGCACATAATTGGGGGCAAAGTTCTCCATAATGGCGTCTGATATCCGACAGTTCAGTGTGTGAATGAAGACTAGTCATTCAGGGATGTTCAGACACAGTCATAGTTCCTAAAGATTTTCCTTACTTTCATAGTCTGTTTCGACCAGTGAAAATTAGCATCTCTCATGAATTTCTCAGCGAGTAACGACTACTGCGGGGATGGCAGATTCGCCCAACATTCCGTCATCATGCAACACATTGACAAACTGGAGTTGAGACCAGGAGAGGCGGTACTGGACGTGGGATGCGGTACTGGGGAAGAAACCAAGTCAATGGCAGGGAAAGTCAAGAGTGTAACAGGTAAGATTCAGTTCCATTCCTCGGCCTCTGCATCGCCAGCTGCTCCAGGGAGGAGGTGTTGACGCACCTATTTTTCCGGCTATCGTAGTTGGGTTTTTTGTGAGTTTGTTTTCTCGAGAAACTATGCGAGCAGAAAGCCTCCTATAATATGCACGAAATGCCGACTTTTTAGACACCCCGTACGTATGGCATACGCAGTGTCCCCCCCCCCCCCTCCCCCATTCCATAAGTTGGGGAAGAAAGGAAGATAGATGTCCTCTTCATGCAGGTTAGATTTATTTGGGGGGGGACAAATTCCCCATTGCGGCCATTCCCCACCCCCCCCCCCCCCTGCCCTCCCCCGTCCCCCGGTGGCGCCGCCACTTGTGATTAGAACATTCACGAGGGCGCTTTATCTTTTCGAAATGTTTCAAAGTCATAGAGTTTGTAGTTTTAAATACGGCGTGTCCTGTCTCACCATTCTACCGGTCTTTTAAACACACTATCCGATCCTCCAGATAAACTTCGCACAAAAAAAACACGATCGTTCCACAGGAGCTCGCATTTGGGCATCAATAGCAATTTGAACTTACACACACACAAAACCCGCTCATACTATCATATCAATCAGGGTGCCTTAACTCTGTTCCCCTTCCCTTTAGGTATTGACGCTTCAGAGGAAATGGTAACAGTGGCCGTTAAGACCAACTCGGCATCAAACGTAGCATACAGTCAATGGGACGCCCGAGCCGTGGGGGACAACCCGGACTGGCGAGAGAGATTCGACAAAGCTGTCTGTTTCTTCGTTCTCCACTGGATTCCTGAGGAAACCCAAGCGCTCCGTAGCATCTCGGCGTGTCTGAAGCCGGGCGGGCAGGCACTGATCATCATCAGTTTTGGGAACCACGACGACTCCTTCTTTTTACCCCGTGCGACTTCCTTCTTGAAAAGCCACGAGAAGTGGGGTGCTTTTGTCCAGGTATGAAACAGTCGTCCTTCAAAATTGGATCTTTTTTTGGCGCGGGGGGGGGGGGGGTGTTTTGTTGTTTGGTTTGAGTAGATCGAGATCCTTTCATAAAACCAGGCTAAAATCTCAGTCCAACTGTTTACTACAGCGGTGCCGATTTCTAGTTAACACAGATGACCGGTATAGCTTGAAAAACTTGAAAGGTGGATGGTGGTGGGGTGGGAAGGTCTTACTAAAAACCCTCCTGCTGTTTAAAATGTCACAAACGGTCAAAGTTTCCTTCCACTTCCCCTGGTATACATTTAAAAAACAAATGGGTCACTTGACCAATATAATTGACCCAAGTAATAGCATGGCTCAGAAGGCATGTTTCCATAGGAGGGTTTTAAGTGCTTAATCGAAGCATGTCTACTGGAGAGTCACCTGCCCTTTTCACATAACAGAGATGGTCTTTTTTGTCATTCAGGACTACAAGTCATCACTGCACCTTTGGGACCTATCGGTCCAAGAAACGCAGAAAGTCTTCAAAGCGTGTGGCTGGGCCGAGGCTAAGTGTGAAGTACGGAGGCACGAACTGGTCCTGTCCGAAATTCAGTTAAAATGTAAGCTTTAACAATCGAAACGTACGTTCTCCGCATTCACCAGCTACTGTAAGGTATGCGTTCAAAGTACCAACGAATGTAATTCGTCAGTTTGTCGAATTGCGCGCGCGTGCGATCCGACAAACTGACGAATAGCATACAAACAGTATGAAGAATAACCGGCTATTAGAGATTTTTTATTCCGAATATACACCAAAAGGGTTATTATCGAAACATAAAGGGTAAAATACAACGCCCAGAAAAATGTCCAACTTCATACGCGAATAACTCGAAACATGCTTTTCGCTTATTCGTCGATATGTCAGCTCTGCGACGGGCTATTCAATTCAATTCAATTCAAATAGACATTTTCTATCCACACTTTCAAATCGTGATGAATACAGTACAAACGTATTCATAATACGGAACAGAATACATTCATGTACAAAATAATTCGGAATTGAGAAAGTATGGAGGCATTTAAGAAGCTGGAGTTGTACAGAAATGCCTAACATAACACAAGGGGGTTCAGTTGTTAAAAAATTACTTTAAAATTATTCAATCAGGATTTGCACACACGTGTGCACGCGTAAATCTCCTGTTTTTTCTTCTTTCTTTTCAACGGTGTTTTTGAAGACATGTCTTGGAGAAATACCATTGATACCAGCGGAGGATTATTTGCAAGACTTGTGGCAGTGGGCGTTGGATCGCTATGGGGATAAGTCTCAGCCCGGACATGTCCTCATCACTTTTGAAGTTATGGTCGTACACGCTTGGAAATAAGACTTGAAACCCTGTGGCGTTTTTCGCTTTCAAGTCTTTTTTTTTTTGGCGTTATTTTGATATTGTTTTTTTAGGTTCAGTAGAGTCTTTCCTACATGAAAACAATTATGCTTATTGAATTGTTTAATGGTTTCAAAAAAAAAACAAGTCTAATAGTACGTACATCATGGCGGCGTGGTGAATTGGCCGACTCTGTTCGTTGCTCTAGGTACTAGTGATCATTCAGTCTCAGAATAGTTTTGCTTGACCAAACTACCTACATTTTCTTAACTCCAAAAACTTAATTTTTGGGGCCTTCTATTAATAAATAGTAAAGAAAATAATCCTTGTTTTACCGGCCGTGCCATAATATGTTCGTGAACGAGACAGTACCGTACCGGTGGCACATGAAAATCCGACTCCTATGAAAATCGGACCCCTATTTCCCTATTATTGGTTGATCCCTCGCACGTGACAGGTCACTCTCCCGAAACGATCCTAAAAATAGCATAGTATCGTACTCACGCGTGCGCAGTACTACCAATGAGTCCACATTTCATGGAGTCGGATATTCACGCTACACCTGATTTTCAAATGCGATACCGCAGCCTCGACTCCAGGGACGCGTGCTCGTTCCTTACACTAACCCCTGGCTGTGATGATGACGTAAATGGCGCTGAATGGCTATTCACAGCGTACTGCGCGGGCATTTCGAAGATTGCACGCCGGGCGCGCCCATAATGCGCTCGCGCTCGCGTGCTTAGCTTTGCACGTAACGTCACATACGAAAAAAAAAATTATGATTCAAAAGTCGCGAGTGCCTGTACGATATGGATTATGTCAGTCGCGTTTTTCGCTAAAAAAAACCCTGTATCTGTGGTTGTAAAGGCACGAAAGGGGTACGTACATTTAATACAAATCTTTGCTAATTAACACAACGTCCAAACGTTGTGTTTGAAAGGATTGATTCTTCAAAATCACAACTTTTAACATTTTAAAGATGGCGTCGCCACGTAAAACGGATAAACTGCAGCCCTAATTATAATGTGCCATATTTTGGCACATTTAAATTACACAATTCCAGGGGTTACGATCGCGCAAGGCATGATGGGAAACAACATGGCGCTGCAAGATCGTACCCACGGGGCACGAGGTTGGCGATACCGATTCGTTGATTCCTAATATCGGTGCAACATACGCAGTGGGGCTGTGAATGTCACCGGGTCAATGCACCGTTGTATGTGACTGATTTTCTGCACATAGGGGGGCAAAGTTCTCCATAATGGCGTCTGATATCCGACAGTTCAGTGTGTGAATAAAGATTAGTCATTCAGGGATGTCCAGACACAGTCATAGTTCCTAAAGATTTTCCTTACTTTCATAGTCTGTATCGACCAGTGAAAATTAGCATCTCTCATGAATTTCTCAGCGAGTAACGACTACTGCGGGGATGGCAGATTCGTCCAACATTCCGTCATCATGCAACACATTGACAAACTGGAGTTGAGACCAGGAGACACGGTACTGGACGTGGGATGCGGTACTGGGGAAGAAACCAAGTCAATGGCAGGGAAAGTCAAGAGTGTAACAGGTAAGATTCAGTTCCATTCCTCGGCCTCTGCATCGCCAGCTGCTCCAGGGAGGAGGTGTTGACGCACCTATTTTTCCGGCTATCGTAGTTGGGTTTTTTTGTGAGTTTGTTTTCTCGAGAAACTATGCGAGCAGAAAGCCTCCTATAATATGCACGAAATGCCGACTTTTTAGACACCCCGTACGTATGGCATACGCAGTGTCCCCCCCCCCCCCCCCATTCCATAAGTTGGGGAAGAAAGGAAGATAGATGTCCTCTTCATGCAGGTTAGGTTTATTTTATTTTTTTTTTTTTTTTTCGGGGGGGGGGGCAAATTCCCCATTGCGGCCATTCCCCATCCCCCCACCCTGCCCTCCCCCGTCCCCCGGTGGCGCCGCCACTTGTGATTAGAACATTCATGAGGGCGCTTTATCTTTTCGAAATGTTTCAAAGTCATAGAGTTTGTAGTTTTAAATACGGCGTGTCCTGCCTCACCATTCTACCGGTCTTTTAAACACACTATCCGATCCTCCAGATAAACTTCGCACACAAAAAAACACGATCGTTCCAGAGGAGCTCGCATTTGGGCATCAATAGCACTTTGAACTTACACACACACAAAACCCGCTCATACTATCATATCAATCAGGGTGCCTTAACTCTGTTCCCCTTCCCTTTAGGTATTGACGCTTCAGAGGAAATGGTAACAGTGGCCGTTAAGACCAACTCGGCACCAAACGTAGCATACAGTCAATGGGACGCCCGAGCCGTGGGGGACAACCCGGACTGGCGAGAGAGATTCGACAAAGCTGTCTGTTTCTTCGTTCTCCACTGGATTCCTGAGGAAACCCAAGCGCTCCGTAGCATCTCGGCGTGTCTGAAGCCGGGCGGGCAGGCACTGATCATCATCAGTTTTGGGAACCACGACTCCTTCTTTTTACCCCGTGCGACTTCCTTCTTGAAAAGCCACGAGAAGTGGGGTGCTTTTGTCCAGGTATGAAACAGTCGTCCTTCTAAATTGGATCTTTTCCACCCCCCTTTTTTTTTTGGCGTGAGGGGGGGGGGGGTGTTTTGTTGTTTGGTTTGCGTAGATCGAGATCCCTTCGTGAAACCGGGCTGAATCTCAGTCCAGCTGTTTACTACAGCGGTGCCGATTTCTAGTTAACACAGATGACCGGTATAGCTTGAAAAACTTGAAAGGTGGATGGTGGTGGGGTGGGAAGGTCTTACTTAAAACCCTCCTGCTGTTTAAAAGGTCACAAACGGTCAAAGTTTCCTTCCTCTTCCCCTGGTATACTTTTAACAAACCAATGGGTCACTTGACCAATATTGACCCAAGTAATAGCATGGCTCAGAATGCTTGTTTCCATAGGAGGGTTTTAAGTGCTTAATCGAAGCATGTCTACTGGAGAGTCACCTGCCCTTTTCACATAACAGAGATGGTCTTTTTTGTCATTCAGGACTACAAGTCATCACTGCACCTTTGGGACCTATCGGTCCAAGAAACGCAGAAAGTCTTAAAAGCGTGTGGCTGGGCCGAGGCTAAGTGTGAAGTACGGAGGCACGAACTGGTCCTGTCCGAAATTCAGTTAAAATGTAAGCTTTAACAATCGAAACGTACGTTCTCCGCATTCACCAGCTACTGTAAGGTATGCGTTCAAAGTACCAACGAATGTAATTCGTCAGTTTGTCGAATTGCGCGCGCGTGCGATCCGACAAACTGACGAATAGCATACAAACAGTATGAAGAATAACCGGCTATTAGAGATTTTTTATTCCGAATATACACCAAAAGGGTTATTATCGAAACATAAAGGGTAAAATACAACGCCCAGAAAAATGTCCAACTTCATACGCGAATAACTCGAAACATGCTTTTCGCTTATTCGTCGATATGTCAGCTCTGCGACGGGCTATTCAATTCAATTCAATTCAAATAGACATTTTCTATCCACACTTTCAAATCGTGATGAATACAGTACAAACGTATTCATAATACGGAACAGAATACATTCATGTACAAAATAATTCGGAATTGAGAAAGTATGGAGGCATTTAAGAAGCTGGAGTTGTACAGAAATGCCTAACATAACACAAGGGGGTTCAGTTGTTCAAAAATTATTTTAAAATTATTCAATCAGGATTTGCACACCCATGTGTGCACGCGTAAATCTCCTGTTTTTTCTTCTTTCTTTTCAACAGTGTTTTTGAAGACATGTCTTGGAGAAATACCATTGATACCAGCGGAGGATTATTTGCAAGATTTGTGACAGTGGGCGTTGGATCGCTATGGGGATAAGTCTCAGCCCGGACATGTCCTCATCACTTTTGAAGTTATGGTCGTACACGCTTGGAAATAAGACTTGAAACCCTGTGGCGGTTTTCGCTTTCAAGTCTTTTTTTTTTTTGGCGTTATTTTGATATTGTTTTTTTTTGGTTCAGTAGAGTCTTTCCTACATGAAAACAATTATGCTTATTGAATTGTTTAATGGTTTCAAAAAAAAGCAAGTCTAGTAGTACGTACATCATGGCGGCGTGGTGAATTGGCCGACTCTGTTCGTTGCTCTAGGTACTAGTGATCATTCAGTCTCAGAATAGTTTTGCTTGACCAAACTACCTACATTTTCTTAACTCCAAAAACTTAATTTTTGGGGCCTTCTATTAATAAATAGTAAAGAAAATAATCCTTGTTTTACCGGCCGTGCCATAATATGTTCGTGAACGAGACAGTACCGTACCGGTGGCACATGAAAATCCGACTCCTATGAAAATCGGACCCCTATTTCCCTATTATTGGTTGATCCCTCGCACGTGACAGGTCAATCTCCCGAAACGATCCTAAAAATAGCATAGTATCGTACTCACGCGTGCGCAGTACTACCAATGAGTCCACATTTCATGGAGTCGGATATTCACGCTACACCTGATTTTCAAATGCGATACCGCAGCCTCGACTCCAGGGACGCGTGCTCGTTCCTTACACTAACCCCTGGCTGTGATGATGACGTAAATGGCGCTGAATGGCTATTCACAGCGTACTGCGCGGGCATGTCGAAGATTGCACGCCGGGCGCGCCCATAATGCGCTCGCGCTCGCGTGCTTAGCTTTGCACGTAACGTCACGTACGAAAAAAAAAATTATGATTCAAAAGTCGCGAGTGCCTGTACGATATGGATTATGTCAGTCGCGTTTTTCGCTAAAAAAACCCCTGTATCTGTGGTTGTAAAGGCACGAAAGGGGTACGTACATTTAATACAAATCTTTGCTAATTAACACAACGTCCAAACGTTGTGTTCGGAAAGGATTGATTCTTCAAAATCACAACTTTTAACATTTTAAAGATGGCGTCGGCACGTAAAACGGATAAACTGCAGCCCTAATTATAATGTGCCATATTTTGGCACATTTAAATTACACAATTCCAGGGGTTATGATCGCGCAAGGCATGATGGGAAACAACATGGCGCTGCAAGATCGTACCCACGGGGCACGAGGTTGGCGATACCGATTCGTTGATTCCTAATATCGGTGCAACATACGCAGTGGGGCTGTGAATGTCACCGGGTCAATGCACCGTTGTATGTGACTGATTTTCTGCACATAATGGGGGGGGGCAAAGTTCTCCATAATGGCGTCTGATATCCGACAGTTCAGAGTGTGAATGAAGATTAGTCATTCAGGGATGTTCAGACACAGTCATAGTTCCTAAAGATTTTCCTTACTTTCATAGTCTGTTTCGACCAGTGAAAATTAGCATCTCTCATGAATTTCTCAGCGAGTAACGACTACTGCGGAGATGGCAGATTCGTCCAACATTCCGTCATCATGCAACACATTGACAAACTGGAGTTGAGACCAGGAGACACGGTACTGGACGTGGGATGCGGTACTGGGGAAGAAACCAAGTCAATGGCTGGGAAAGTCAAGAGTGTAACAGGTAAGATTCAGTTCCATTCCTCGGCCTCTGCATCGCCAGCTGCTCCAGGGAGGAGGTGTTGACGCACCTATTTTTCCGGCTATCGTAGTTGGGTTTTTTTGTGAGTTTGTTTTCTCGAGAAACTATGCGAGCAGAAAGCCTCCTATAATATGCACGAAATGCCGACTTTTTAGACACCCCGTACGTATGGCATACGCAGTGTCCCCCCCCCCCCATTCCATAAGTTGGGGAAGAAAGGAAGATAGATGTCCTCTTCATGCAGGTAAGATTTATTTTATTTTTATTTTATTTATTTTTTTTTGGGGGGGGGGGCAAATTCCCCATTGCGGCCATTCCCCATCCCCCCACCCTGCCCTCCCCCGTCCCCCGGTGGCGCCGCCACTTGTGATTAGAACATTCACGAGGGCGCTTTATCTTTTCGAAATGTTTCAAAGTCATAGAGTTTGTAGTTTTAAATACGGCGTGTCCTGTCTCACCATTCTACCGGTCTTTTAAACACACTATCCGATCCTCCAGATAAACTTCGCACACAAAAAACACGATCGTTCCACAGGAGCTCGCATTTGGGCATCAATAGCAATTTGAACTTACACACACACAAAACCCGCTCATACTATCATATCAATCAGGGTGCCTTAACTCTGTTCCCCTTCCCTTTAGGTATTGACGCTTCAGAGGAAATGGTAACAGTGGCCGTTAAGACCAACTCGGCACCAAACGTAGCATACAGTCAATGGGACGCCCGAGCCGTGGGGGACAACCCGGACTGGCGAGAGAGATTCGACAAAGCTGTCTGTTTCTTCGTTCTCCACTGGATTCCTGAGGAAACCCAAGCGCTCCGTAGCATCTCGGCGTGTCTGAAGCCGGGCGGGCAGGCTCTGATCATCATCAGTTTTGGGAACCACGACGACTCCTTCTTTTTACCCCGTGCGACTTCCTTCTTGAAAAGCCACGAGAAGTGGGGTGCTTTTGTCCAGGTATGAAACAGTCGTCCTTTTAAATTGGATCTTTCCCCCCCCCCTTTTTTTTTTTTGGCGTGAGGGGGGGGGGGTGTTTTTTTGTTTGGTTTGCGTAGATCGAGATCCTTTCGTGAAACCGGGCTGAATCTCAGTCCAGCTGTTTACTACAGCGGTGCCGATTTCTAGTTAACACAGGGGACCGGTATAGCTTGAAAAACTTGAAAGGTGGATGGTGGTGGGGTGGGAAGGTCTTACTTAAAACCCTCCTGCTGTTTAAAAGGTCACAAACGGTCAAAGTTTCCTTCCTCTTCCCCTGGTATACTTTTAACAAACCAATGGGTCACTTGACCAATATTGACCCAAGTAATAGCATGGCTCAGAATGCTTGTTTCCATAGGAGGGTTTTAAATGCTTAATCGAAGCATGTCTACTGGAGAGTCACCTGCCCTTTTCACATAACAGAGATGGTCTTTTTGGTCATTCAGGACTACAAGTCATCACTGCACCTTTGGGACCTTTCGGTCCAAGAAACGCAGAAAGTCTTCAAAGCGTGTGGCTGGGCCGAGGCTAAGTGTGAAGTACGGAGGCATGAACTGGTCCTGTCCGAAATTCAGTTAAAATGTAAGCTTTAACAATCGAAACGTACGTTCTCCGAACCACATTATGTATGCTTAAAGGAGTGCATTCACCAGCTACTGTAAGGTATGCGTTCAAAGTACCAACGAATGTAATTCGTCAGTTTGTCGAATTGCGCGCGTGTGCGATCCGACAAACTGACGAATAGCATACAAACAGTGTGAAGAACAACCGGCTATTAGAGATTTTTTATTCCGAATATACACCAAAAGGGTTATTATCGAAACATAAAGGGTAAAATACAACGCCCAGAAAAATGTCCAACTTCATACGCGAATAACTCGAAACGTGCTTTTCGCTAATTCGTCAATATGTCAGCTCTGCGACGGGCTATTCAATTCAATTCAATTCAAATAGACATTTTCTATCCACACTTTCAAATCGTGATGAATACAGTACAAACGTATTCATAATACGGAACAGAATACATTCATGTACAAAATAATTCGGAATTGGGGAAAGTATGGAGGCATTTAAGAAGCTGGAGTTGTGCAGAAATGCCTAACATAACACAAGGGGGTTCAGTTGTTAAAAAATTACTTTAAAATTATTCAATCAGGATTTACACACACGTGTGCACGCGTAAATCTCCTGTTTTTTCTTCTTTCTTTTCAACAGTGTTTTTGAAGACATGTCTTGGAGAAATACCATTGATACCAGCGGAGGATTATTTGCAAGACTTGTGGCAGTGGGCGTTGGATCGCTATGGGGATAAATCTCAGCCCGGACATGTCCTCATCACTTTTGAAGTTATGGTCGTACACGCTTGGAAATAAGACTTGAAACCCTGTGGCGGTTTTCGCTTTCAAGTCTTTTTGTGGCGTTATTTTGATATTTTTTTTAGGTTTAGTAGAGTCTTTCCTCGTGGTTGTAGTATAAAAAAAAACATGAAAAAATATGCTTATGAGATTGTTTAATGGTTTCAAAAATGATGTTTTATCTTCTCAACATTTTGTGTAAGTACTAACAGATTGTATTAATAAGGCAATAAATATGTGCTTGGCCGGTTTTAAACACTATGTTAGGAGTCTGGACGCTGATAATGACCCGAGCCGGTCACGTCAACCAATAAAAGGGTAAAAGGGACTGGATTTCATAGGAGTCAAATTTCATGTGACACTGGCAAAGTAGACCAGCCAGCCGGTCGTTTTATCAACCTTTTACGACCGGCCACGTGACGGGCTCCCAACCAAACTGCCTTAGGTATTGATGAATTGTACCTGGTCTCTTCATGCCACATTGGTGGCTGCTGACTGTTTGTTTTTTTCATGTAAACGTAATAAACTAACACTCCAAAATATATAGCTATTACGCAAAATATTACGTTGATGAATATTGTAGATTTGTAATTCTTTTTTGTGTAAGGTGTTTTTGTGTGTGTGTGTTTTTTGGGGGGTCTTTTTGGGTTGCATTATTGTCTGGTGTATAAGGTCGGTCTTTTTATACATCATGATTGTGTTGTCAGGTTTTTTCCCCTCCATAACATTCATATACATGTATAAGCATATTTGTGGGGTTTGAACATGTAAATATTGCTTCTGGTAATTGCTTTGGGAGGGTCCTTATTTCTTATGCTTGATGACTTTTAAAATTAATGTGACTGATGTGAATGTGTATATTTAATGTTAATTGTTTATGTTTATTGTCTTTTATGAATGCTTGGACCCATGGGAGACCAGTGGATTCCACTGAATGGACCACCCAGTTGAAATTAGAAATAAGAAAGAAAGAAATAATAAAGAAACCTATTTTGAAACTCCTCTTCAATTGACGTTTCTGTTGTTTATTAATCTTTATGCCACATCCCTTAGGTTGCGCAGTTTTTAGGTTGCGCAGAAAAATAATGCTTTTCTCCAGTCTGCAAAATGTTATGGTCGTACACGCTTGGAAATAAGACTTGCAACCTTTGGGCCTCCCCATCATCACACAGTGTGCTACAAAAAAACACGAATTCGTGCGAAAACAATAAGTCTACGTGCATTTTTTTTTCTAGACTAGAGGTTTACAACAGATCAGGAGAAAAGTTAGGTTTCCGCTGGCCCAACTTTGATGGTTGTCCCACCATGACGAACCGATGGCCCCGGTCGGCTCATACTACTAGCGGCCGCAGTCGTGGATTCCGCTGTGGAGCCCGCAGAGCTGCTCCAATCCATCACGCGGACGTCCTTCAGGAACTTGACGGCGTACAGCTTGGGGAGGTACACGCAGACCACCGTCAAGATGGCGTTGAGCAGCAGCGCCATGCAGAGAGTAGCCACCTTCTGCAGCACAGCCACGGCCGTAGTGTAGACAGGCACGGCGGCCAGGCACAGCACCAGCGTGGAGTAGACGCTGACTGCGATGAACTTGGACTCGTTGTAGTTGCTGGGTACCTTACGGGTCTTGAAGGCGTAGTAGCAGCAGACCAGGATCAGTAGCAGGTTGTACACGCACGAGGCGATGAAGCCGCTGCCGAAGTCACAGTAGACCTCGATGTAATCCCGGGGAGGTCGGGGAATCAGGTACTTGGGCCTGGATGGGCTGACTGATATGGAGACAATGACGACTACAACCTGCACAGAATTAAAAAGGGGTGCAGCGTTTACGTTGCCTTGTGGACAACATCCACCATCGAGAAATTAAGGTTAAAAAACGGGATTACGTTTTGCAGGTTGAGATGTCTTTTAAATTGGTGAGTGAATGTAATGGCAAACGATGACAATGTGAACTCTGGTGTTTTTAAACTTAAAGAAAAACAAACTCTTTTCAGCACTTATAGAATGAACGGGAGTGAACTAGTGCTAATTTGACATTGTGCACATTGACTTTCACTCATTTTTTAAAACCCAAAAGAGACCGATGCAAATGTATATACGTTTTATCCCTGTTCAGTGAGAAAGGAATTTACAACTTCCAGATCGTAGTCTGTGTTTTCGCAACAAGAAAAAAACCTTACCTGAAGGGCTATTAGCACCGTGGCCAATATGAGCTGATCCTTGGGTCGAACTAGTGCGGGCCGTTTGGTGGACTTCTTGCTTGACTGAAAGATCCGGAAGATCCGGTTCACCTTCAGCAGCGTCGGACCGTAGGTCAGCGTGAAGCACAGCGAGATCATGGCCTCTCCCGCGGCACAGGACGCGGCCATGGGTTGAGCCAGATACACCGCCACTGACATCCACGCAAGGAGCGTGCCGAGCAGAGTAAGGGTGCTGAGCTCCCGGCTCGTGGCTTTGATGAGAGGGTGGTTCCTGTAGTGCAGCAGGCCAACAAGACTGAGTAGAGACAAGCCAAGACCGAGGACGCAGAGGATTATGACCATCACCATAGCCGCGTCCGTGATATCCACCTTGGACGGCGTGATCATTCGGCACTGCGAGCGATCCTCGTTGGGCCAGAACTCTTCGTCGCAAGGACGACACGACGAACCGTCCACGACAGCGTTGATCGGACACTCCTTACAACCCCAGCAGCATTTCTTCTCCAGCGGAACCACGATCTGACCAAGTTTACACTCTTCGATACAGAGGGAGCCCGGCGGCTTACCCATCCCATCCGGCCAAAGAATGTCGTCGACATCGATCGACAGGTGTCCATTTAAGCTTCGCGAGTCCCACTGGCCTACCTTGTAATAACTTCTGCCACGGAAGCTACTAACCGTGTATGTCCCATCCGGATCTCCTTTCTCATCGAAATGGAATCGACCGCCGTCCACACCTCGAAAAGTTACATTGAGAAGATGTGCCAAAAATTCCCGCCGGTCAAACCCTTCAGAGGTCAGGCAAACGGCGCTCGCATCGGAGTCGCAGCGACTTTGGAGCATGCTGTCCAAAGCGAAAGCAAAGGCGTACACGGCATGGTACACAGAACTTGAACGATTAGAGACAGGAATGGGGCACTGCTGCGGACCAGCACACCCAGTTTCATCCATCCAGGCATCGAGGTATTCTTGGTACCAGGGATTGCTGTTATTTGTACTGGACAGGCCGTGGAAGTATCCCTCAAAACCTGGAATGCCGAAGATGTTCAGAGCGAAGAACAAGCTCCCCTGGCTCATTTCATGCAGACCGTACTTTTCAAAGTTCTCAAATGAATCGCTTCCGATGAGGACCAGATTCCTGCCTGGGTTGGCCCTGTAGAACTCTTGCAGAATAAAGTACATACCCTCGTACCCACCATTTCCACCGAACATGACCACCACTCTGGCCTTGTCGAACTCCTCGATTTTCCGAACAGACTCCTTGATCTCTGAGACAGTGGCGGCTTTCCGGACAGAGACGGAGAACGCCACGCAAATACCCTGCTGCTCTGCAAGGGTCAGCAGCTCTTGGGTACCGTGGATTCCGTAGGTATCCAGGGAGTAGATCATCCCGACGTAGCGCCAATCGAAATGCAGGAGGACGTCTATGATAGCCCTCGCCTGCTGCTTGTCCGGCGGGGAGGTACGGAGGAAATTGGGGAAGTGGTCCTTGTCGCTCAGTTCATCGCTCGTCGCAAAGCCGGAAATCATCGGCACGTCGTAGATGTTGGTGGCTTTGGAGGCAACGACGCTCGTGCTGCTTCTGCTGGTTCCAACAACCCCGATCAGCCGTCCAGTAGGAGGCTCGCTGCCGGTCGACAGCTTCAACTCCCCCTGTTTGTTCGAGTAACCGCCAAGAAGAGACAAGGCCGCCCACATCGCCGGATCATCTCGGTAGCAAGTCTCCCGAATGTCGAAGCCCAGGGTGACGTTCCCCAGCAAGTCGTCTCTGCCGTTGATCTCTTCCACCGCAAAGGCCATCGTCTCGACACGCTCCAGGAGATGGTAGCTGCGGCCACCGCGGCAGGTGATGTCTCGGTGCAGAGGGAAAAGACCGCCGAGCACGAAGTCACCCGGCCTGGTGAAATTCACTCTCACGGCACTTGGCACTGCGCCGCGGGAGCGTCCGATGAAATTGCCAAGCAACATCAGCGCGAAAATCACAAGAGCGCCTTCCATCCCGTCCGATTCGCATGCACACCACTACCAAACTGAATTCGTCGATCGTCAAAATAGGGCTTTTTATCGACTCGCCCAATGGAAACAGCACTGTCTCTGTCTTACCGCCCAAGAAATATTGCATATACCCTGGCCTTGCCCTTTAATACAAGCTCATTAAGTTATACATTTTATACCCTATATAGTCTCCTCGCATATTTGCAGCAAATTCAGTTTGTAAGAGTCAAGGATGGCCCATTACTTGCCGCCTGAACAATTAATCGAACGCTCCAAATGGTGAATGCATTCGTGCTGAAATAACAAAATGTGATTTCAGGTAGACAGTGAAGAAATAAAGTAGGTCGTAGCTACAATCGGGCGCACGGTAAATTGTTTACTTAATCCGCAGCGTCGAAAAGGGAATATGGCCACATCTCTCTTTTCCTCCATATTTTTTAGTGGGGGGGGGGGGGTCAGCTTTTGGTTCTGTTGCTTTGAGCAGATGGTCCGATAACACACTTTTACTGTAAGAAACACTTGTTTAAACACTTTGAAAAGAATAGAAAATGATTATGAACACCGTTCGAAACAAAGAATAGCCCTAACAGTCCTGAATCCTCCAATTTCAATACAACTTTGCCCACCCCCTAGGGAGGTAAGAAATGATTTGGAGGGGTTTTTCGAACCACAAAACGACACACTATCCCTCGAGTGTTTGATACAGATTTAGAAACCTGGTTTCTAGAGGCTATGACGGAAGGACTGCCGAGGCTGAGGCTCGGTCCAAATTGATTACAAGTCTGTTTGGCGTTGTCAACAAAAAAATTAAGGACATTTTACAGAAACGAGCATTGAATACCAGACGGTATTATTAGTTTATTGTTTTATTTTTACATTTTTCCAAAGATCACGGTTAACAATTAAATTTATATTTAAATTAATTTCAATTTCGGGTTTTTTAATGAATTGCCGGGCTTCCTGCTGTCTGAGTATCACCCGACATGTCCAACGGGAGCCTCTGTCTCTGGTCCAATGTCTGATGTAATTAGGCCAAAAAAAAAGTCTCCGGTTTCTGGTATGCGCGCGCGTCGCCGTAGCCATGCGCGTCGGCAAAATGAAAAAAGTTTTTTTTTCAATGAAAGATGATGTCTCAAAACCGCCAAACTCACTGGTTTGACTGGAATCCTGCTGCTGCACAATTTTAACGTGTTTTTAGATGGGGTTATGATCAAGAATAAGCTTTATGTAGCCTCTCTGGACTCCCATATATTTTCACTAAGTTTAGTCGGGCACCATTTGCAGTCATCAGCCGACATTTGAAGCAAAAAAGTCAGGTAAAAAAAAAAAAAAAGCCGCGTCGCCTACCACTTTTTGGACAAGCTCCATACCAGAAACCGGAGACTTTTTTTTGGCCTTATCTAAGCAGGCAAGTGCGACGTCATGTCATTCCGAAATCTGGACTAAGATTTTGATTGGTCAATTTCGATACCACGTTTGTGTAATACAACAACCTGTATATACAAAAATGCTACTCATCGTTGGCGAGATGTTTACGCACGCGGAGCTCGCATTTCATTACGCGCGTATAGAAGACGCCCGCTGATTGGTCAGTTTCTCGAGGTCACACGCAGTCTATTGTTGCATAATTAATCGCCTAGTCTGCTCGTTGTCTGGTTCCCTGTTCCTATTGTCCTTCGGACTTCAAGATTTAGGGTGGAGCGGAAAATGTCTAATCTGATCGCATAATAGTCCCTTGCTGCATGCGCAAGGGTCTATATACAACGTGTTGTCTTCACCTTTCTGGGTTAAAATATGCGGTTTTCTGTTTTTATTATAGTTTTGTCAGACTGAGTGTCACTTGTTGTAAAGCATTGTCCTTAATTGGTAGAGTCGACCGTGGTCGATGTTGAATCTTTGAATGTCAATTTAATTATGACAACAAGAACAAGAATGAGGTGTATTAAAGGGAACATAACATCAAAAAAACTATCAAATTATTATAAAATACATGGACGGTTAGTGAATGACAGTCTAAAGCATTCTGTAAAATCATGGCACCTGGTCCACACAACCATCCTTTAAAAACTTGTCAGATTTGTGTTATTCTTGCAAGAACTATGCGAGAACGTATGGGGGGGGAGGTTCACAATTATTTTGTCTCTGAAAAGTCGAGCATTTCAGTGCTAGTTGTGATCCAGCCGCAAATGGCTATCGCATTCTGCGGACGTGTAAGAAACAACATTTATGTATTGGTGCTGTGTGTAATTTATGTGACACACACAACGTATATCGTACATTGATTGAAAAAGGCAGGAAACACGTATGCGTTCTCCATCGCGTCCGATGTAAACAACCGGGGAACGGTAAGACATAAGGTTAATTTCCATTCAACCAGACCTTTAGAATAGGATAAGTAAAGATTCCAAAACATGAAATTTTCGGAGATTTCAGGCCGTAATGCCCCTTTAAGGCAAGAAGTTCCTCAAGGCAGCACCGGCGCATTAAACAAGCGGCCTTTTCGACAGCGACGTTGTTTTCTCAAAAAGCAAATCTTCGTGGGTGGCATTGTGCGCGTATTTTCTTTGTGTTCCGTTCCGTTTTAAATTGCGGCACGAAACAAACCTTAATTTGTTGACCTTTCTTTCATTTGCAAATAATGAGCCTCATTCGGTATCAAAAGTGTGCACACATTCTGCAACTGCGGTTGACCACAACTTTTGCCTATAATTTCGCAGTCATCCATTCAATACATTAAAAGGAATATACATAATGATTTTTGTTTTGTCAGTGTCACTAAATTTTATAATACATTACGTTTTAATTGTTATTTTACCCGCAACGATGGCCGTATGGAAATGGACAAAACTACCGGTAAACAGGGCGAGTCAATTTCAGTATCAAACAACTTCAGGTGAGCGGAAGAACATGCTCTGATAGACATACTTCAATTTGATTGCTTTTTAAGAAATAAAAATGATCAATCCAGGTCATTTTCTTTTTGATTCACTATGTATAATGGTTGTGACGTTAGCAAAATACTGAACCTGAATTGAATTAAATGTGATGAAGGTTCATGAATGCATGTATGTGCATAGCATATATCTATAAAAAAAAATTAAAATTAAAAACAAACATACCTTTTGGGTTGACTATGCAGATTTTCCTTGGCGAGCTCGATCATTGTATAATTTCGTTGAAGTGTCACGAAAATGTTACTATCTGATTCTTCATGAGAAGAAAAACGGCCTATGGAAGAGATGAGATGAGAATTTTAAATTTATTATATTAGTCAGAGAAGCTTCCTTTCCGTGCGTTCTTGCACCAGGACAATTACTTGAACGGTGTCAGGACAACTCGCCCCTGGCCTACTCACTCCTTACCAACTCGCCCCCTGTCCGACTCGCCGCTTGCCAACTCGCTCCTTACCAACTCCCCCTCTTGCCAACTCGTCACCTGACCAACTCGCCCCTTACGACCTCGCCCCTTGGCCGACTCGCCCCCTAGCCTCCTTGCCAACTCGCCCCCTGGATAAATTATTTATTTGAAAGCATAGCGCTGTTCGTTAGTGCTTCATCTAGTCGAAAAACTCGGAAAGTGGAAGTCGTATATTATTTTGGGGGAAATAGTCATGTTTGGTTGGTGTTTGTTGGCGAGGGGGCGAGTTGGTAAAGGGCGAGTTGGTAAGGTGGCGAGTTGACCAATCGCTCGAACATTCCACATAAAAGTCTAGCTCTGTATAGCGACGGCTGCACGTACTTTCGCGACAACGTATTTACGATCAACTCCCTTTTACTCAACTCAACAATGGAGCTATATAAACCATAATAGTTCCTTGAGCCAACGGACGCACACTATCTACAATAGATATGTCATTCCGTTCGGTCTGTTTCAACTGTCCTACATAATCTTTTTATCCAGGCCAAGGTTGTTCTGAACGTTTATATAAAACAGGAATTTTGATTGGTTCTGTCTTCGCTCCCACTGCCTGAAAAAAATTGTCTCATTTATCATGATTATTTAAACCATATTAGGGAATAGACCTGTAAATATACAGGCCCAGAAATCAATGCCTACGCGGGCCAAATCACAATTTGTATGCCCTCAAATTCTTTGCTATTAGAGCATTTTGTGGGCCATGAACTGGAGCGTTTGGAATAAACGATCGGTGAAGCCGTGAACAGGAGTGTTAGCTCGTATTTCTGTGAAATCCGCATGAAATTGGGCCCTACAATTGCTCTATTTTGCAATGGAGCGCAGGCCTCATTTTTCAAAATGGCGTTGAGTAACAGGACTACTTTTCGGGGTGATCATCTTTGGATGGAATTTTCTCCCAAAAGTCATCAGCTAATTGAACCCAAATTCACAGAAAATGAAAGCTTATTTCATAATCTTTCATTGGACGGGAGTCCCAAACACCTTGGAGAGTTGTGAGTATTTGTAATAATTTTCAGAATACATGTAATTATCACTCAGGTCTTTTGGGAGTCGATTTGCAGGTCTGCAACCATTAGTTACACCTATGTATACAGGGTGAGTACAAAAAGAAGAAACCCAAATAGCAGGACCATTTTAGTAATAAAGTTATGCATGAAGCACGTTCAAATCCAATCACTTTTAAAATCTAGGATATGAAAGCCCAATTAATAGGCTTTCTTTTAGTACAAGAATCATACAAATCACTTATGTACTTTTCAAGTTACAGAATTTCAAACACAACCACCGTTTTAAAGTTCTGTCCACGGATCACAAAAAAAGGTGTTTGTTGTCTCAGCAAAACGAAAACAATTCACACACATCCATATATGTTCTGTTCGAAATGAATGTTCGGGGAATTTACTCACCCTGTATTATTTCCTCCTGCAAATGGCAGTTTGTATTTTTGCTGACGCCAGGCTGAAGGGCGGATTTTTATTTCCTGATAAAATGTGTGAATAAACATGTGCATTATTTTTCGTACAAAACATTGAAGGCCACACGAATCTGAACTTCGCAGAAGTGTTTGTCCTAAACTTTTCTAACCTTCCTACCAACTTCCGTGCTTTTGCACCCGAGTTAAAAGGATGTATGGAGAGGTTGGTTCTCTGAATAATTACCTACTGACACCATGCTTAATATTGAAAGCGGATTTAGTTTCTATATCAACTAACTTTCCACCAGTCAGAGGCGGAAATTTGCTGGGGTTTTTTTTCTTGGGGGGGTGGCTCATTATACGCACTAAAGGTACCATGACATAAAGAATTGTGATATGAATATTTCTAGTTTATGCATTATTATTTTTATTATTATTATTATGATTATTATTACATAATATTATTACACTTTTAGAGGTGGGAGGAAAAGCCCGGAAGAATATTCTGGGTAAAACCCACGGAATCAGGTAGGGACTGAAAACCCAATCCACATATTGGCCCAGGCGGGATTCGAACCCGGGTCACAGCGGTGGAAGGCGAGGAAAGTACCGCTACGCCAGCCTGACTCCCCAGCTACGCCAGCCCGACTCCCCATTAAGCTATAAAAAGGTCCTCCATGGTTTGTGCAACTTTCTACTGCCCCTATATGTATGAAAACTAGTTGATACCCCTTTTTGGCCAATTGTATTAAAAAGTGCACTTCTTTTAACGTTTAAAAATGTCCATGCAAAAGATAACTGAGGGCGTTGTTGCTGTGATGTCATATCAAGAAGACACTGTTCGGTTTACGTGTTTTCAAAAAGAGGTGGATGAGGGCCTTTTTATTTTAATTTTGTATTGAAAAATAGGCTACAAGATATGTGTTTTAAGAAAGGAGAAGGCCCATATTATTTGATAGCGCTTTAAACGTTGGGCACGTGTGGTCTAGCGGTGGAGCACAGGATTCATGATCGTGAGGTTGTTGGCTCGAGCCCCGCCGTGGCCATGCGTGTTGTGCCCTTGAGTAAGGCGCTTTAGCTCAAATACTCCTCTCAACACAGGTGTTAAATGAGTACCGGCATTATTCAGTGCTGGGAAGGTAACAGACTGTGGAGGAGGTGTGGCGATCCCCCCCCCCCCCCCACAGCAGCATATGAGTCAGACCAAATCGCTAACGAAAGAGAGATGGGCACTCCGTTCCTGTTAACACAGGTTCGTCCCCTTTACCTTTTTTTTAAAGTTGTCTACTAGTTGATGACCACAAGCCCTTCTTAAACTTCTTATTGAACATAAGCAAAGCTATTAGAAGCATCTGAATTACTAAAACATCTCCTTTTTTTTTTAAAGTTATACCTGAAATTTAACAAATAAATAAAATCATGCAGCCTCAAAAAAGGAAGCGGGCGGGGACGATCAACTTGTTTTTTTTTTACTTGGCCCAAGTTGTACATTTTGTTAGCTGTTAAGTGATCATATCATAGCATTCCAACGCAGTGATCAGGAGCCGGACTTTCGTTTCTACCGGTTTCCACCCAGGTGCGGTTCAGTGCCACGCAGCAGCACCCGGATCCTGTTTTCTTGTTAAGTTTGTGCAAAAACTTCCCGTTGGGGGATTTACACTGTAATTTGAATCTATATATCCCGGAAGTTCCTACCTAACTTATAAAAGGAGAGCTTGGAAGTACCGCAATCAATATTGATGGTATAGGCAGCAAGCCGCTGCAATATTTTATGTCGGTCTCAGACCTGAACAAACTTGCGAAGAACATGATGCGATGTGTCACTGTGATTGTCGTACTTGCCGGTGAGTAATCTAAGAATTTCGCCATGTTGTTAATTTCATATTTCGCCACCAATGTTTGAGTTTGGTTATAGGCATTGATATTGTCTTTTCATCTGAAATACAGCACTCACAAAAAATTGAGACAAGTTAGGATTTTTGAAAAAATTCCAGAGTTTCTGAACGATACTATTTGAAGTAACAAGACGAACAAAATACGCGGGAAATCCTTTTGGAGTCATGGAAATGTCTACATATACATTGAATCACACAGTTGTTGACACGGTCATTTCAATTATATAAAAAATCCACGTTATTATAGCGTGTCCACCTTTATGTACTTTCAGTTAGTTTCGCTCACTGATGGAAACGCAGGTTGCGTGTTCTATTTGTGAAGGCCAACAACATGATTCGCCTTTGCCCGCGATATATCTATTGTGATGGAGTTGGCAAGATGCGCTTCTGAAACTTATACCATTGGCTGCGATGCCGTGAGACAAAATATAATTGTATTCATTTATTTTCAATCAATTTGAGAAAAGTGTGAATTTAACCATTATATTTGTTATTTTCTAGGCAAGATTAAAGGGAATATATAGAACATTTGCAAACATTGACTACCAAATTTTTACGAAATACCTTAATAGGATGTTGTTAAATGAAAGTCTAAAGCATCCTGTAAAATTGTGGCACCTGTTGTGAAGTCATTATCAAGAAAATTGGTATTTTGTATAAATTTCCAACGGTGGTCGGCCGACCACCGTTGGAAAAACCTAACTATTTTTTAGCTACTGCTCCGCCCTTTTTTCAGTCCAAATTTTGTTTGCTATTGGTTACATGTTCATGAACGGGTGCAGGCCAGCTAGACTGGTTTCCTTACCTTACAATTTTCGGGAATCAATGAATTGATTTATTTCATCTTTAGTGGAGTCAGGGAACCAGACTACTTGAACAATTTTGTTTTTCTTGGTTTTTCCAGCATTTTCAAACATAAAACTTCAAACATGTCAGTGTAACAATATTTGATATATTATACCAACCCCTCAAATACTCCATTTCTGAAAATTACAGCAAAAGCCAATGAAGTACATTCCCTTTAATGTGCAGTGTGAAGCAGCGCAAGCAAGAATCCGCACACACCCTTAACACGATATGTTTATTCATGCCGGTGTCATGAAAATCCGACTCCTATGAAAATCGGACTCCTTTTCCCTATCATTGGTTAATTCCTCGCACGTGACAAGTCACTCTCATATGCCTATTTATAGGTTATGGTCATGCTTAGGTACGCATGCGCAATATTATACCAACGAATCCATATTTCATTGAGTTGAATACTCACGCTTCACCTAGTTTTTTGTCCGCACTAAATATTTTTTTCTGCAACCAAGGATAGCAATGACCATTATGCGCATGCGTCAGTTGGTAACGGAATGGTTCTCGGACTTAAATTCCCTTTAAAAAAAAAAAAACCTGCAGAGCCACGAATGAGAAGAAAAGGCTGAATTCCATTTTATCGATCATCAGGACTTGATTAAACACAATTTAGGGAAGAAAATTCACTTTTGGGGGAAAACTGAACATGTAAATTCCCTCCGGGATTCGAACCCGGAACCTCCAGGATTCAGACCAACGATAATAAAACAGAAGGCAACAGCGAAACCACGCTGATCGCCGTGGCATATATGCTTTAAGGACTTATTCCGAATACATATTCAGTTGTTCACGTGACATTTTTCACGCATGCGCATTACGGTGAATGACTTGACCGAGATGCAAAAAAAAAATTGCTGCCCGGTGGGTCAATGTTTTCTGGATCACGATCGATGAACCACCCATTGAACATTTTCCTTCTCGAATATTTGTTCCTGTCCGGGGAGAGAAACGTGCTTCCTGTATTCGTATATTCTGATTCAATCCAGCAATGGCAAGAAATGGGTTTGTATCGTATATAGGCCTACATGCTGAGTTTAATTCAAACGCGTATTGCGTGCGTTCACATTCATTGTAAGTTATTACGTTGAATTATGGACCGTACGTGGTGCAATGTTCCTCAAATAAATCTTCCCTGTTCCATTTATACGTCTATATTTAGTGTAATATTGCTCGTTTGATGGGTAAAATTATAACAGTACACTTCGCAAAAATCATACGTTATTCGATTTTACGCCACGATAAATTCATTCTCTCTGTATCCTGGACACCACAATCAAGAACAACACTGACTTAAAACATGGCCAGGCACAAGACTATTCCGTACCTCATGATAATGTGCAAGATTTTTGAACATCAAATGATCCAGCGCAAATGCGAAAGTGGGAGCGTACTGCTCGAAGCTCATGCATGGGACGAGGTTGAAGGCTCGGGCTTTCACTGCAAGCGCGTAGTCAGTGTCACTACACGTTCCCGCCGTTTTTTTTAAGGTTAAATATGTCACCGCGCTACTACCGTTTTGATTTGTTTGTTTATTTCCTTATTTGTCTGTCCATGTTATGAGGGAAAGACAGGACCATCTCATGTCGACGTAATGATAACCACAATGTGTTTCCGCCAAAACCGAAACTGACCCTATAGGCCTATGACCGGAGCCGTCATGGATGTCTGTTCTCGAATCTCAGTGACGATTTTCCGACTCGTTTCGTTGTATCGGGACACTTGCGGGGAGTTCCTGAAAAAGGAAGCACAGTATTGCAAATTATTGGTCTCTTGCACACGGACTTTCCTCGTTAGAGACAGTGAGAGAAAAAGTAGACTGATTGACTTTAGTAGGAAAGGGTCATTATTATGATACACGCAGCTCTAGCCACCAATATCCGGTTGTCATAGCTCCGGTATGCGTTGAAAGGAAATATCACAGCGCGGGAAATAAAGGTATCTCAATATCTACAGCAGCAAAAATGTAAAAGTGCATGTCCAGAGGTCTAATTGGAGATTTGGTTTTTTTCTGGAAACATAGAATGATATACACTGGATGGCCCATAAAAAAACACAGAACCTCTTACTTCGCCTATCCTGAAACTCAAACCACAATACAGGCGCGGATCCAGAGGGGCGGGTTCTGTCAAATAAAAATAATTATCATACAAATTCATAGAAAATAAGTCGACCCCCCCCCCCCCCGACACCCCCAAACATTTTACTGGTATAATGTCCGCCTGTTCAAAATACGGTACACCATTCTGTAATGTAGTGTTAATAATCGTCGAATTTGAACAGCGCCCCCTATTGAAATATGGTACCGCCCCCCCCCCCCCCCCCCCCACACCCCACCCACCCACCCAGTTTTTGATTTTACGGAGGCCAAGTGTCCCGGGAGAAAAAAACCTGTGTACATTTGCAGGGGTTTTTTTTGGGCTGATGTTTTTGTAAAAACAGGCACTTTGTATACCAACTACTGATCTTAAATCTAATTTTCAATGTTTGTAACGATTATTGCAACACCCGCAGTGCTAGGCACAGCCATGGCGCTGAGGCCTGCAGATGAACACCCATGCTACCGTTCCTGTGATGTGTCAATTCCTATGACCTGCACGTACAACTGGACACTTAACTGGTTCTACACTCTGGCACAACCGCAGGTATTCATATACGATTTTCAGATATACATTTAAGACACCAACGCTTACCACTCTAAGGAGAAATACCGGTACTTGAAATCACCGTAGGTAAATAAACCATACACTACAGTCCCCGTAGCACAAAATTGGTGTGTGTTTTTTTATTATTATTTTCTTGTGTAATTTTCATTACAAAATAATGTTATTGCGAATGTTATCAACGGTTGTTGTTTATCCTTCAGTGTGGGGACTGCCCGGTCAATATAACCGACTGCAGCAACCCGGACTGTTTCCCGGCGGATGGGGTGAAGCGCCCGGTCAGTCTAGTCAATCGTGTCTTCCCCGCACCAAGCATACAGGTACAGTAAACTCCTCCAGTCAATAGCTCTACGAATCTTGGCATAGGACATGTCATAGCTGTGCAAACCACGACCTTCTGCACTTGTGGGTACCGTGCAATTATCGCTAATCATCAACGCACAACATCATTATGGGTGCAGACCTGCAAATCGGCTCCCATTATTTTGCGTACTTCAACAAATTATTAAAAATACTCACAACTCTCCAAGGTGTTTGAGACACTCATCAAATTAAAGCTTATCTCATAATTTTTTCAGTTTCTGTTCTATTTTAGGGGGTTAACTGATAACTTTTGGGAGACAATTCCATCCAAAGATGATCACCCCTAAGCAGTCCTGAAGCCCACCGCCTTTTTCATAATGGACGCCTATACGCTCCATTGCAAAATATAACCAATTTACGGCCTAATTTCATCCAAATTTCACAGAAATACGAGCTCGCAGTCCGCTCTGCATGGCTTCCCCACACCCTTCTTTTTTTACAAATCTTCAAGTTCACGGTACTCAAAATGATGTAATACCTGAGAATTTTAAGGCAAATTGTGATTTGAACCCTTATCCGATAAGGGTACGGCAGCGCATGCGCACAAGGCTGATTTCCTTAGTGACCTTTGACATGCGCACACCGTTAGCATATATTATTTTTAGCTTATTCATGCCAGCGCTATTAGTTTTGAACCCTGACTGTTTGCTTTGTCTGTCTTGAATATTTTGACGCCAGCCTTGGTTGTAGGAACAGTCACCCCTAACCCTGAAACTGCATTGTTTCAGGCATCACTGAGCAAAAATCGGTGTCGGTCAACTGAAGTCCATCAAACTGCGCACTGCACAGATAACTGGAGAGCCACGAATTAAAACAAGTTTTCATGATTACATCTTCAAACATATGACAAAAAAACCTGTAATAGTGGAAATTTCATATCATCCTTTTCCTTCCCTCAAATATACATTCGCCAATGATGATGACAGGTCATCGGTTACTTGTGTGACAAACTCCGGTGTCAGTAACACTGAGAATGCACAGAACATTCAACATTAATGTTTCATCAAACCAATAGATCTGTAGCGGTGACGAGGTGATCATCAATGTGGCCAACAAAATGCTGAACGACGAAGGGGTGACCCTCCACTGGCACGGCATCTTCCAGAACGGCAGCCAGTTCATGGATGGCCTGCCCATGGTGACGCAGTGTCCCATCCCCTCACCGGGCAACTTCCAGTACAGGTTCACCCCCTACGAGCCCGGCACCCACTGGTTCCACTCCCACGCCGGCCTGCAGCGAGCGGACGGAATGATGGGCTCTTTCGTCATCCGAGAGAGCAGCAGGGCCGACCCCCACGGCGACTTGTACGACCTGGACCTGTCTGAGAATGTCATCTTCATGAATGACTGGCACCATGACACCATGGTTAATGTCTACACGCGGGATCAGTGGGGCGGCGGTTCGAGCGTGGCCTCGATCCTCATCAACGGTAAGACATCAAAGATTAATGGTGTTGCTAACATCCAACCATTGTGGCCAGTTGAAGAGAACAAGCTCAATCGGATTTCGGAAGCTGCGGGCCAACGAATTCGTGTTCGTGCAAGATTCACATGATTGTGCCATGTAATTTCTGGAAGGAGTAGTGTTTTGAGTCAAACAAAATCCCAGGTTTTTGACCCCAGTGACCCCATGATGACCTTCGACCCAAATTTGGTCATGTGACATGTTGGGGCTAGGCTACTGATACTTTTGACAAAGTTTGGTTGAAATCGGTCGAAATATGTAGGAGCAATAGACAATGTCAACGTTTGTTACTAACTAACTAACTAACTAACTAACTAAGTTACTAATTATAGCTACCTAACTAATTAACTAACTATTACGGAGAGACATGATGATTTGTAGAGCTGCTACCCGCAGCTAAAAAGAGATGAAAATGTACCTCAGTGATTCTGCAATTATCCTAGTTTTGAGCAAGCAGGTGACGATCGGGAAATAAAAAGGAGAAAAAGAGGGGCAGAGGGAAAGAAAGAAAGGTCGCAAGAAAAACTTGTAAGATATTTGGACTATTATTAATAGTCTATTTTAAATTGATACATGAGTACATAGCTATACCAATGGTTGTCGCCACAGCATTGTAGTAGCTGCAGCTCAGTAGACGACGGCAACTGCCTATGCGTGAAATGTAAGGTAAAGGTCCCATAGCCATTACTAGCCGTAGGAGCAGTGGGATGTTAGAGGTCCACTGTGTCTTGGGCGCGGCATATGAGTGAAGGAGCCCAGTCCTGTTCTCTCGCTGTCTTACCTTCCCTGAACGAACCAGGTACCCATTTCACTGTTTGTCAGAGAGACTTTTCCATTTTTTGTCCGAATGGGATTCGAACCGCCTTCCACTCAATAGCTCCACGCTCTAACCGCTCGGCTACGAGGCCCCTCTTGCCGTAATGCATTAATTATGACACCTTTTTCTACAGTACAACAGCGGTTCAGTGGTTGTTTCAACGGCTCTGTAATTGACCAGGTATTAATTTTGATCCTTTCGTGAAATATCACTTATCATTACGACAGGCAAAGGTTTGCCAGTAGGCAACAGCGCCGTTCATCCACCGCTGGAAGTGTTCAATGTCCTGCCAGGTCAGAGATATCGCTTCCGGGTCATCAACGGCGCCAGCTTCTTCTGCAACATGCAGTTCTCGATCCAGGGCCACTCGATGCTGGTGATAGCCAGTGATGGCGGGTCCATGCAACCCCTGGAAGTGGATTATTTCCGGATCAGCGGAGGGGAGCGGATCGATTTTGTGCTGAGCACCGACCAGCCCATCGATAACTACCAGATCCAGGTCATCGGTCTGCCGTGCACCAACGAGCAGGGCGAGCCATCGAAGCAGATTGCATATCTGCGTTACATGGGCGCCAACGACCTACCGACCATCGATGAATTGCCTAACATCACGTCGTACGGCAATTCGTCATTTTGGTGGCAGGCTTTCCCGGACAAATCTTTTGCCGATGTTTATGCATCGGGTAAGTGTATTAATTACTTCTCCTGTGGGCCTATACAACACTGGTTTTTATACATGTTATGTCGCCAAAACTATTATGAACTTGTTGGAGTCCTAAGAGATTAAAGGGAATATACAACATTTGCAAACATCGAAAAATAAAATTACCAAGTTTTTACGAAATACCTTAATAGGATGTTGGTAAATGACAGTCTAAAGCATCCTGTAAAATTATGGCACCTGGTATACTGTCATTTTCAAGAAAAGTGGTATTTTTGTATCAATTTCCAACGCTGATCGGCCGATCAGCGTTGGAAACAACTGGCTTTTTTTCAAATACTGGCCCCAATTGACCATTGCACTTGTTTGCAATCGATTACAAATCTATGAACGGGTACGAGCCAGCTAGACTGGTTCCCTGACCCCACAATTCCCCAATGTATGTAAACTGCTCTGTTTCTTCTTATATGGAGTCAGGGAACCAGACTACAGGAAAATGATCGTTTTTCTTGGTTTTTATAGCATTTTCGAACCCAAAACCTCCAAAAAGTCAGTGTAACTATATTTGCTTTATATTTCCAACCCCCCAATTCCATCCATTTCTGAAAATTACAGCAAAAGCAAATGATGTATATTCCCTTTAAACACAATCCAGGTCAAAATAATACAATAACTTGTCATTATACACCGCGGTAATTTATGGTCTGGGCTGTCCATGATTACTCTGTTCACAATCAACTGTAAATAAGAGACATGTAATCTGAAACTAGAAAAAATAAAGGATTTATGTCGTGGTCTTGAATTGACCTATCGCGGTAGAAGCGCGGCAATGCAGCTTGTAAAAATACTGTCCAAATATAAAATGGACGCGGAACGCGCAAAATCTGAGACAAACACCTCTCAACGTACAAAATTCCATTTGCGGTGTCTAAGGGGCGTGACTAACTCGCAAACGGCGATAGGTCTAGTATAGAGCACCCAGCAATCAATGTCTCAAATGCAACATGATGAAGCATTCAGGGATCCATCTGCGGCCCCACCCACCAACTGCATGCGCAGGTACGGGTGGGTAACAACGCGTGCGTGTATTATTCTGATATCTGTCCAGTTCGTAAGTGTGACGTCACTTCAGTTGAAACTACGCCCACTGGCCATTAAGTAGCATATCGGGAACCACTGGAACCGGAAGCTAACGCAACTTGAGTGTTTATCCAATGGGCGCTAGTAATCACCGCGTGTATGACATTTTTACTTGCGAGCCGGTTGTGCCGCACTGCATGTTCCAGCTGCGCGCATCATACGCACATTACGTGCGCGCATAACGGACATTCATCTCGGCTTTGATTGGTCAGACCATCGTTGGGCAGGGCTTAATGCATCAGTCTGAATGCAGAATGTGCAACACTTCATCGTTGAATTTGTTTGGAAATGCAGGTATGGAGGCAGATTACAGGTCAACTGCCAACGCCGAGGATCATCAAGAGTACATCCAAGTCAGTTTCGGCAGTCACATTAACCCGTCCACCCAGCAGCCTAAACTCTACCCGCAGCTGAATAACATCACCTACTACTTCCCTACCTCGCCAGTGATGAGCCAGTTTGAGGATCTTCCGGGGAACATCTTCTGCAAGGAATCCGACTTCGCGCCGGGGCAGTGCGACGGGGATGACATCTGTTCCTGCGTGCACACCATCGACGTCAATCCGAATGAGGTACGATTATGCACAACTTTTACCGCGTAACCTATCGGATTTCATGCAGATAGACAATAGTCTATAGAATAGGGGCTTGCTTCTAAGTGTCTATGATATTTGCGCAGATTCGGCGATTAATAAGCCTCTGCCCTGATGACGTCACACTTTATTTACGCATGTGCTTTCTTATGGGACCCTGGTGGGGACGACGGTTTTGTATAGAAAAAGCGCACAAATGATCGAAATGACGTCACAGTTTCTAAAGTTGACTCCGATTGGCGGGCACGCGGGGTCGCATAAAATTTGCATTATGATATGAGGCGTAAGTTAAGTGTGGCTCTGCACGCGTGAATGTATTTCATAGCTCTACTCACAGAATTCCGCTCTGGTACGATCACTTTCTGCGCGCTAACGGCGCAAGCAAAATATTACTGACGCCAGCCATACTATAAACACAAAATACTATGGATTGTCCTCCAGCTCCCTTTGGACCACTGAGGGCGTTCTGGTAAACTGAGTCCATCTGCAGTGATGTTTTGGTCTTTACAGCAGATACACGGAGAGACATTTCAAGTGTTAAAATCATCGTCGATGTGCCTCACTTCTTGAACATACTAGGGCTGAAGGACCATCGTGCATTCGAATTACCCTTTCGAAAGAATGTTCATTTTCATCCACCTTGTGTCTTATTTCTTCCTTATCCACAACAGGTAATCGAAGTCATCTTGGTCAATCCTGACTCACACTTCAGCGTCTTACATCCCATGCATCTCCACGGCCAACAGTTCAAGGTGGTAGCCATGGACAAAATAGAGGGCGCCACAGTCGATATGGTCCGAGAGCTGGTTAACAATGGTAAGTTGATGCGTTCATAATAAGGGGACAGGTGGACACTAACTGACAGTGGGTGGCGCTGTTGCATTCGTTGAAAAAAAAATAATGTAGGGCTGTATGTATGCGGCCTCTACATCCATTCCTATTTTCAGTTTTTCCTTTTCGTTTTTAATCGTTCTAGGCTCCGATCGTGAGAGGCAAACTTTGTGGTTTTCAAAATCTTCAAAAAAGTGCGGGAAAAATGCCCCTTCTCCACCATGATTTCAAATGTCGATTAGCCTACAGTACTGGAATTTATTTAGGCGTGAACATGATAATTATTAGTTCCTTTGGGGCTTTTGAGGTGACAAACACGATTTGTATGCCGTTACACATCTGTTACCACCCTGCACAGAGCAACATTTTCCTAGGGCCAGCAAAGCTGGTGTGTAGAGGCCATCACATGTATGTACACATGGTTGTGAACATTAATGACATACCACTTTGATACCTCACCATAAAAAGGGAACTAATCAATCCTAAATTACAGCTATAATTAACACACGCACAACCTCAAAGGAGCATTACGACCTGAAATCCCCGAAAATGTCATGTTTTGGATTGTTTACAAATTTTAAAGGTCTCGTTGAAAGGAAACTAACCTAATATGTCTTACCGTTCCCAAGAAAAGACGAAAAACCCAGGTTGTTTACATCGGACGCGACAGAATTTTTTTTTATATACACATACGTTTTTCAAGTTGTATCTAATGTATCGTACACGTTCTGTGTGTGAATATCGAATACACACTGCACCATTACAAAAAATGTTATTGCTCAAACGTCTGCATAATGCAATACTATTTCTAACAAAATAGGAAATGTGGAAAGAATGTTGCAACCTGACGCCACTGTTGTCCTCATCATCATCTCAATGAAGGTCAATTATTGCAAAAATGATGATAAGGCATGAATATGGGACTGAAAACATTTCTAATTTTGTGAGGAAAAACATGTAAAATTTTCTTGACTCTACATCATGTACACACGCGCTGAAGTGGCGTCAGGTTGCAACATTCTTTCCGGAAAGGTTTTTTGTAGTCCAAGGTCCATGTCTTTTTAAAATAAATTGCATTGACTGACCTTCATTGAGATAAGATATGATGAAAACAAAAGTCGCGTCAGGATGCAACATTCTTTCCAAAGCACGCAACTTGTAAGTTGGCCATTCAAATTCAGCACTAAAACTAAGTACATGTGCATGATGTACCGATGTGTAAACCTACTTACCTTATTGTTGCATCTGTGAATTCCATCGTAGGTTCAATCGTTCGCAATAATAATGGTCCCAGGAAAGATGTCACCATCGTTCCCAACGGAGGTTACACCATCTTTCAGTTCCAGGGCTGGAATCCCGGCTGGTGGATCTTCCACTGTCACATCGAATTCCATCTCGAGGTAATAATTTCCATCATTGAGACTCAACATCTTCAAAATGTCCGTTTGAGTGTTGCCGCCATTTTGTAAACAAATCACTCAAAAGGCTGGTGACACTTCTGTAGCACGGAAATGATCAGTTTTTACGTTGGGTACCAGCCAAGTTACGAAGGCTGTTACCTGACAAAAAAGACTACGTATAATACGCTGTAAACGCCAGTTGCCCCAGTCTTAATTAACCCTATTTTCCCGTTTTGTTGACCTATATTATTTTCGCTTCTTTCAGAGAAAAAGGGTCGTGAATGACACTGTGCAGCTGATGAAACTATCGGCTTTTGATTAATAAACTGGTTGAACTGGACACAGAAAAGGGCGTGGCGTTGTCGTTTAATTTGGGGGGGGAGGGGGCAAAATGATGGCAGAAAATAAACCAGCCTTTGGCATTTTTCTATTTTATGATTTTTATAAACCCACATTGTCTAAACTGATGTTCCTTATTTTCCTTGTGTTTTATTTCAGGAAGGAATGGGGTTGCTGTTCAATGTCAAAGGCAATTTACCTTCGGTACCGAAGGCCTTCCCTACCTGTGGCGTCTGGCCACCGGCGGCGCCCACCGACGATGAGGGTGCCGAGCCCCCGGTCAGCGAGACCAGTACTGCTTCCCCTGCTGGTACCAACGGCGACGTTCCCTGCCGCTCGGACCCGCAGACCGGCTCGTCGCCCCTGGTCCACCTGGCCTGGATCGTGCCGCTGACGTTCGTGCTTGCTCTGGTCCTAGGCCTGGTCATCGGCAAGTGCGTTCTGGGCAAGCAGAGGACCGGATCGGCAGACGTTTCTATAGCAATGCATTCGGCTAAGTAGGGATTTTTGTTTGGTGTTTGGCTGGGGACAAATTCAGAGGGGTAGCCAGCCGGAGGAGGGGGGTTAAGGGGAGTATATTAAAAAAACAAACCCAGATTTAGTGCCTTTTTGTGTAAGAAGTGCCCTTTTTTTTAACAAGTCCCCATTTTTACCAGTGTCTTTTTAAAAGTGCCCTGTTTGGAATTTCGCGCGACTGATGGCAATTTTGCCGCCCTAAAGGGCGCCCTGTATATTGTCCGATTGTGTGTTCGTCCGGTTTGCACAGTGCCCCCATTTGATGATGGTACCAGCCCCCCCCCCCCCTTCCCCTCCCCTGGCTTTTTATTTACGGAGACCAAGAAGTGTCCGGAGAAAAAAACTGTCTACATTTCAGCACGAATTGCATGCGCGAGTGCCCTTATCACTAACTTTTGACACCCCCCCCCATTACAAAAGACCTTGCTACGCCCCTGTAAGTTGGGGAAATTGTCCCATTTTTCTGTTATGGGGGTTGTGACGATCTATCTGGATCTGGAAAAATACTACAAACAAACTCCCAGTTGCAGGATGTGCAGATTGCAGGTGTGAATGCTGATAAGTAATACGCTTTAAATTTCTTGTAAAATGGTAAAATGTTTCGATTGCGTTCGCTTTAATCTATTTTATTCAATCGTGTACAGTAACAGGACGATTGAAATTGCTTAGATGTGTTCTCTTTACAGTGACGTAATTATAGGGCTAAACTTCTGGGCAGCTGGGGTGCTAGTCTGGTTCCCGGACCTGACCATTATTCCTGACGCTCACGTCTAAATTGTAGGTCAGGCAGCATCCGTGGCTAAAAGTAAACATAACGACATTGACGGCCCTTTTTAAAAACTCGGCTTCGTTTCCGAGTTCGACTTATCACTTACAGCTTTTAATGTTCCGATCAAATTTTAAAAATAAATCACGTGCTTCATAATATCATACCGTTATGATAATACAGTTTGATAATTCTGTAAAAAAACATGTACTAATGTTTACCTGGAATCTTCAAAGTTAGGCACCCAAATAGCACTGTTAGTGTTAGCAGGCGGAGCCGAATGAAAACCACGCCTAATTTTGGAAAATGCCGCCAACTGTCGTCAATTCAAAATAGTACATGACGCAGCAAAATGTTCGCCCTTCGTATACAATCCGAGTACAAAATCGTCGTTTAATTTCAATTTTGCTGAATAAAAGCAATGAATATTAATAATTATCAACTCGTTTTTTAAAGCGCTAATTAGCAAGTAGCAGTTAATAAAACCTATATTATACTCGGAAATACTCGGGCGCTATCCGATTGTCGACGAAACGAATTCGGCAAACTTCGGACATTTTCGGAAAAAGGAGGAATTCCTCCCGTTTTAGTCACGTGACGTAAATTGTAATACAGTGTATTACCAAAAGGCTACCTGACCTAAGATTCATCAGGAATATACAGAATTTTTTGGTCTGGGAACCAGACTACTGGGGTGCATAATTTTTATGTTAAGGGGGAGGGAGCATTTAAGGCAAATGTTATATTTATTTTTGTTTATTTCAAGATTTTAAACGTGGCTCCGGGGGGACGGGGCACGAACATCTGTTGGAGGGCAAGTGCCCCCTCCTTTCGCAGTTAAACCACTGCTTTTCACCAAAAATATTTGTTTGCTAGAGATAGTATTTCACATACTTTCCGGTAGGTTTGTAGTGTATTGAAATGTTTCATATTAAATTCATTTAAAGGATGGAAATCGGCAAATCTGTCACTTTTTATGATCTTGGATTGTAAAATCGGAAAAGCCTTGTTATAAGCGAATTTATTCTTAAAAAAAAAAACAATTAAACCATTTTCACTGTATGAAACTGCCCATCAGATATTCAACAATAGAAGCTCTAAATTAACGGGGTACTGTAGTCAGAAGTCAGTGTTGTTATAAAATTAAACAAAAGGAGGGAACTTTAATTTAATGAGTGCTTCGTTTCCATCTATATATCCGCCAACACTGAGAAAATTAGTTACTGAAACATAAATTCGGTCAACTGAAAGATTTATTAGTTCCATCAATGCTAACACTTGTTTTCTCAGTACTGTATGGTGTAACTCACCGATGTTACGGTGAAAACACTTTGTCCAAACCACCAGGCATTTGCAAATAAAACAAACGCGGATATCTCAATAGTATACAGATATGATTGACTGCTTCGCGGTGTATGTAGTAAAACTATAGCCCCCAAGGTGACAATATTGAGCATTCTATTTTCCCCAAATTTTATAGTTTTACTACAACCAGAGTTGTAACGAGTCACTGATTTTTGTGACTCGAGTCGAATCGAGTCATTTTAAAGAAGTGACTCGAGTCGAGTCGAGTCATTAGGTCAAGAAGGTCGAGTCGAGTCGAGTCACAGTGTGTAGTCGAGTCAAGTCGAGTCGAGTCAAGTATTTAGCGCGAGTCAATTCGAGTCACAATTATTTGAGCACTACACAATAAATAAACACAAAGGAGAAAGTCATTTTTTGCTTTTTAAATTTTACATTTGGGCTGCTACATGTGGCGACACCACATTTGACTCTTAATGAAAATGAAAAGGGGGCGTCAGCTGATCACCATTCAACAAATGGGGACACTGATCAAACCACGTATGTATATGTATAAATTATTCGCGAACATTCTAACACGACGTGAACAAAAACTAGCACCGGCGTAAGTCATTGCAAATATTTTTCGCAAAGTTTTGCTTTTATTTTTGATAGGGGACTCGAGTCGGGTCGAGTCATTTGCTCGCAGTGACTCGAGTCGAGTCGAGTCGAGTCATTTGCTCGCAGTGACTCGAGTCGAGTCGAGTCGAGTCATTTGCCCTTAGGGACTCGAGTCGAGTCAAGTCACCAAAAATTGTGACTCGAGTCCGACTCGAGTCGAGTCATTGACTCGAGTCATTACAACTCTGACTACAACACGAGATAAAGCAGTCAGTATTTGTTTTTCACCACCTAACGATCACCCACAGATTTTGCTTGTGTTTAATCGATAACTGATCAATCTAAATGCAATTAAAATGCACTTCTATTTGACTATCAAATTTGTTTGGAATCATACAAACATTTTACCAAACTCCTCCCTCACCAAATATTTGAACCCAACTCCGTACAAAGCGCTTGGCAAATACACACAGTGCGCAGCGCGCAACGCGTTAGCTGGTGTGTATGTTTGCAAACAACATGCACAAGGGAGTGTTTTTTGCGACCGTGACCAGAAACACGGTTGATCGTTTTCGTGACATCGGTTGGCGGGAGTGACGTCACTGTTCCGACCACAACCGAACCAGGCCCAGGGTCGGTTACGGAGTGCATTTCAAGATGGCCGAAAGGTAAACACACGACATTTAACAAAACAGTGTTGTGAAAATTAAGCTTGCGATGCTTACTTTTAATGCGTACATCGTAAGTTTGTACATTTTAGGTTGCCCGTAATAAAATGTCTATACAACTTACAAGCCATCCCATTTGCACCCTCCGCCATGTCTGTTTACAACTGTTTGACACTGTTTTCGGTTCAGCGTTTTTGTGCGCATGCGTGAACATATTGACGTCACAAACATTGTTTCTGGTCACGGTCGCGAAAACACGCCCCTGGTTGTGCTATAAATTGTTTTTATGGACATCCTAAAAATCCGCCCGCTTGATTGAGGAATGAGGATGGTAAGGCCTAGTGCTTTTAGTTAGTTACAATACGGTGAAAACTTTATGGCTCATTTGTATAACTCCAATCCTAAATGAAACTATAAATAATTTTTACATGCAACCTTTTTGAATGTCTTTTATAAGTTTTAACGCAATTTAAATGCTCCCTTTTCAAAGTAAGATAAATTGACTGCAACACAATCTGTACAATAATATGTGCTTCTTTAAATAGACAATTTTCCTTAGTCAGATTTGTATGCACAATGTTTAAACCTTTTCTAATAATAGTATTTAATGTCATATTTTTATTATATACAAACACGGTGGGCCTTTTACCTTTTAAAAAATTTTTTTTATGTAAGTCACGTGCAATTCAGCTGTGGCTGCTTATTTGTTAATAAACCATGTTGAATTTAATTGAAACTATAACGGGTTACGTTTACATTTCCCAAACGAAAAGTTGATACAGGCACGATATTTTTTTAAATAAAATATTGATATTTGACGAAAATAGATCATGTGACATGTAACGTGATGAAACGTGTGACATTCAACAATTAAGGTTGATTTTTCGAACAAACGGCTGCGCAGTCCTTACGAAATTGCCTATTAGCGAGTCCGTATATCAGTGGGTTCACGGTGCTGTTGACGGCTGCCAGAACTGTGGTGCTGTACATCTTGGTGAGGACACCTTCGTCAACTGTCCCACCGTTCAGCACAAACAGATCCGTAGCCACATAGATCCAAAAGGGCAGCCAGGTCAACAAGAACACCACGCTGGTAATGAACAGCATGCGGGTCACCCTCCGCTGCATCAATTCCCTCATGAGAGGCTGGTTACCGGACGGAGGCACCCTCCCTCGGATGCGTTTTAGGACGCTTGTCTGTACGGCCCAGCTTGGCCCTTGGGTATCGCTTACGCTACGCTCCGGCCAAGACATCCGTGGTGGTCGACTCTGCGATTTGGATGTGTTCGATTGCTGATAAAACGGGTGTTGAGGTGTCGATCTGTACATCATTGATGTTGATGCCGACGTTGACGGTCCGAATTCGGACTCACTAGGCAGAGGTTCTACTCGCGTCCGACTTACTCTGTGCTTTCTCGGAAGTGTGGGAATGTTGTGGCTGATGGTGGGAACGGCTGGTGGTTTACTGCCCGTTCTCACCAATCCAATACGGATTTTACGTTTTCTTGTTATGGTCTTATACACATTTCCATAGCAAACGATTGTCATGAGCAGCATTGTCAGATAGAGGGTCAAGTGGCTAACATGGGCGACTTTCTTCACGATGGGAAACGACATGACGCCGCTTAGAATGCCCGGCGACTCCATCAGTACGGCGATCGCAATCGACACCAATATGGCTATTTTGGCTCGCCGTTTGTTGAAGAACCGCTTGTTGAACCGACACACGCTATCGTAACGGTCTAAGGCGATGACGCCCGTCATTACGACCGACGTACCGAGCGCGATTCTGGAAGGGACCACCAGAATCCGGACAACAAATGGAACCTCGACGCCGGCGATCGTATACGAGAACTCGACCACATTGCGGATACGCAACAGGCACACCGTAAGGTCAACGCCCGCCAGTCCCATGATGAGAACCTCAGTGCTCTTCTTGCACGTTTTGCGCGAGTAAACCCGCAGGATCAAGGAGTTCCCGAAGAGACCGAAGAAGGTGATGAAGAAGTTGACGATTGCCCTCCAGATGGCCCCGTCTCTTTCGCTTTCTTCGATTCCAGACGAAGGGGGCAAAACGGTGTCCGGGATGGCATCAGTGCTTGCCATTGTTAACGGCTGATGTTTAATGCAAACAGTTTGGAGTTCTCGTTCCGACCATAAATGGAGTTTTGCCTACGATTGTCCAACACTTTTATTTTCTATAAATGTATTTCGAAGTTGTATCTCATAGGCCTACTGAACTTTTATCATGTATCCTGTGCGCTTATCACAGCTTGATATGCACAATAACCACAACGGGCCCCAAGATCTACGGCTAGTTATACGTCGGTTGTTAGCACTTCCCTGCGTAAGTTGCAATGGACGAGAACTAGGTAGCTCAAGATATTCGAGACGCGGCCTAACATACCCATCGATTGCTCGTGAACCGAATGATGACATTTTGCTGCAGATCACGTGCTTGGAATGGACTCTTTGATTAGTCGAGGAACCATGCCTTGTCATTTCCATTCCACTCGACTGTAAAGACCAGGTCAGCATAGACGACCGTGATTGGATGTCAAGACTCTACGTCATGCATTAGAGGTCACTTCCGTAGTTACAGTCGGCTATCAACCCCTAGCATATTATTTCCGTACAAGATTGCGCCCAACAGTTCAATGCATGATACGGTCAGTGCATGAATCCCAAAAGTATCCAAGCGAATTATTTTTCCAAACTTTCTTGGGTTAAAAATTGTAATGGTACTAAACACACCGTAAAATAATTCCGTCTGGCTGGCTAAAAGTTAGAGAAGAAATCAAAAGGGGATTTCCAACGATCAGTAAGAGATCTCCTTGACAAAATTGTGTTTCGTGCTTAAGGTTTTTACGTGTTTTCCCGAAAAAGTGTAACATCCGCTAAGTTGATACTTCAACAGGTTAGATTTTGAACATTCTTCTCTGGATTATGGGTGGTGTCTATATAGTATTGAAAACGAACAAAATGCATGAACAGAGAACTGATCCCATATGCCTTTAAGACAGTCAAAGCATTGTCGGAATTAACCAGTATCACCGAACTGGAAGTGAATATTTAAATTAAACTGTTGTTACTTGATTTTATAAATAAATTAAGTAACAGGAACGGTCATTCAATTGAGTGCGCCACAACCCAACAGGAGTTGTGAGCTGCACATGGCACTTACATAAGAATCACAGGAAACAAAGCAGAATGCTGAATCCCATTTAGTACGTGGTTACATGAAAATGCAAATCATAAGTGCAATGGAAAATTCACTGAAGCCTGTACAACCAAGACGTACAGGGAGACATGTGAAGCTTCAGTAATAGTTGTGCAACAAGACAGCAGCCATTTGCTGCATGGCCGCCCCACCGTCCACTCACAAAAGCTATTATAATCAGCATCACCCGGGGGTAGGGGTTCTTAAGGTGTAAATTTAAAATGAATTAAAGGGAATATACAACATTTGCAAACATCGAAAAATAAAACTACCAAGTCTTTACGAAATACTTTACTAGGATGTTGGTAAATGACAGTCTAAAGCATCCTGTAAAATAATGGCACCTGGTGTGAAGTCATTTTCAAGAAAATTGTATTTTTGTATACATTTCCAACGGTGGTCGGCCGACCACCGTTGGAAAAACCTAACTATTTTTCAACTACTGCTCCAACTTTTCACTTTTTTCGATCCAAATTTTGTTTGCTACTGGTTACATGTTCGTGAACGGGTGCAGGCCAGCTAGACTGGTTCCCTTACCTTACAATTTTCCGGCATCTATAAATTGATCCATTTCATGTTTAGTGGAGACAAGGAACCAGACTACTTGAACATTTTTGTTTTCTTTGGTTTTTCCAGCATTTTCGAACACAAAACGTCAAACATGTCAGTGTAACAATATTTGATCGATTATACTAACCCCTCAAATAGTTCATTTCTGAAAATTACAGCAAAAGCCGATGATGTACATTCCCTTTAAGTTGCAATAAATATGCGAGGAAAAAGAAGATCAAAGGAAATGACAGATAAAGTTTAACTTAAATATTATGATTAAAGTTTTGGTAGTTGACAAGGCATAACGTCAACAGGTCTTTAACCAAATAATCATCTGATATTTTCTAACTCTCGATATGAAAGAAAACAAAAGGCCCTTGATGATTAACAAAGGTCAATAATCTTATAAATCAGATTAAATTATGTATGTATTCTATGTATTAAAAAAGCTAAAGCAAAAGACGTGATAACCTAGTGTATTAATATAGTGAAAGTTATATTTCAGAATTATGAAAGGACTCCTTAACCCCACAAGTCATGCTGTAATTCAAAATTACTTATTTGGTGAATAAATGACCAGAAAGACATAAATACGCCTAAAGCTGTTTTTGTTATCTTTGTAACTTTAATATCATGCATGTATCCACAGCCTCATTTTCCCGAAGCCCTACCTAGGCCTATCTCATCTCTCTCTTCCTACGCCTACTCAAGTTATTTATTCATTAAGTTCAGTGTAATTTTATTTTGTTAATATGTTATTATTCTACAATCTGCTGCTGGCGGCGAAGGAATAGATGAATAAACCATTAGTAATAAAAATAATAACAATAACTGTGAAAGGGCCACGGCATGTTGACGTGTATCTACGGCATGTGTGCACCCGCATATACAGGGTGGTTTGTTTTTTTTAAAAGACACCCACATTTGACAGCAATTTTCACCAATTTTTAAAAATTATTTTAAACTTTTGATTAGTGGCTATAAGTACTGGCATTTAAGCAAATGTGACGAAAAAATCAATGCATTTGCACATTTAGTCGTTGAGCTATGCTAATTTGAACATTTCATGTGCGAAACATGTTTGTCCACGGAGGTAAATACATTCCCTTCGCTTGACTGAGCTCAGCTATCGGAGCTTTATTTGAAAGGGCATGACATTTGATAGTTATGTTATGTAATGTTATGCAACAATGAACTTAAGCCGACAGCTCATTGAGTAGATGATCTTCACACTGACATGAATAATTGGACAGCTTCAATTAAAGTTAGCAGGGCAAAACATATTTTGGTGGGAAGGTTTTGATTTTGGTGACTTGTATTCAAATTAGCATAATATCACTATTTGTGCGACTTTTACTGAGCTTTTTTTTTCACCATGCATGTTTAAAGGCCTATACTTTACTACTATGTGAAAAAAATATTTAAAATAAGTTCATTAAGTAGGTAAAAATTGCTGTCAAAAGTGGGTGTTCTTTGTTATTAACCAATATGTGACATATCGTATTAAAACACTGTACAGGGCGAGTCCAATGAACGGATCACCCAAATGGTGCCACCTATTTTATTTTTTTTATTCATTTTTTTTATATGGAATTTCTGCATGTAGCGCTTTCCAGATCTAGGATATGAAGGCCCAATGAATAAGCTTTCTTTTAGTGAAAGAATCATTCCAATCGCTCATGTACTTTTCCATTTAAGGAATCTTGAACACAAACACTGTTTTTTTTAAAACCTTTTCCACGGATCACAATAAAGTGATATTTCAGCAAAACGAAAACTATTCACATCAAAACACACATCAGAAAACACTCTTATAACCATGATAATTGGCACTTATCATAACATGTATTTAAAAACCTGCTGCTTCCTATGTTAAAATAAGATGCTTTATAATATCAAGAGTTTATAGTCTTGCCCTGGTTACCCCGGAGACTTATGGGATTATTCTGATATCATTTTCAGGATACGACATGGTTTCATTTTTACTAAGGGAATAACAGTGTGAGGAGCCGGTCTTCACTGCGTAATAATGACCGAGTGTGGGGTTGACCACTGTTAATGGACCGAGACGAAGTCGAGGTCCATTATGTGATCCGTGGACAAGGTTAAAAACCGGTGTTTGTGATAAAAATTCCATACCTGGAAAAGTACCTAAGCGATTGGAATGACTCTTTCTCTAAAAGACAGCTTATTAATTGGGCTTTCATATCCTACATCTAGAAAGCGCTACACGCAGAATTTTTTTTTTTTAAATAAGGGGCACCATTTGGGTTTGCTTTTATTTTACTCACCTTCACTGAGCTAAAACTTCGTCGGGTTAGTTGTTAAGCACCTTTCTTCAGATTTTGAGCACTTTTGTTGCTTCAAACGAAAAAGATGTACAAAGAACAATTGATGCAATCTACCTTAAAAGATTATGAAGTATTAAATTGTATATACACGTATAAAATGAAGAATTTAATAGTATTAACTTTCAGCATTTCCTTTGAGGGGAAGGGAGTCGACTTAAGTGTCTAAAAGGGACACATTGACGATAATGCGAAACTATAAATATTTCTTGACAATGCAAAAAGGTATTGTTTTGCACTTAATATTGAAGACTACAAACATATGAGGAAGCACTATGTTTTTCTTTCGTTTTCTAAAATATTGCCCACCATCAATTATTGAATATAACCACTAAACCTCTCTGAGCTGTGCGATGTATCGTTAGATCAATAATTAGTGACATGCTTGTAATGCCGGAGGTGCATGGTTGACGTCATTCAATTCAGTGATTGTGGGAGGGGGTAGATATTAGGGCGTCCCCTTTTTATTTCTATGGTTCTCCTTTTTGTGCCTCTGAAGTCGGTTGGTCGGGGGGAAAAATAACATTTGAAGAAAAAAAATGCAGTTACATGCGTTTAGATGGCTATATTCATTCATCATTCATTCATTCGTTCATTCATTCATTCATTCATTCATTACGGTTTATTAAACATAAGGATCAAACAGTAAGTCAAAAAGCAAACAATGTCTGATTTACAAGTTAAAAAAAATTGATACAAGAGTAAAACAGTAACGACAAAATAAAAAAAGAGACAGTTGGATTACTAACAAATGTTACAAATTATAAAATTGCACTACAAATTACAAATGCACATTAAGAGTTGTTATTCAACAGTGTGACCATGAATGGAATCGGTGACTGTCTTTGAACGGGGGGGGGTCGAGAAGATGGGATTGCCTAAGGTTACGATCAGACACAGTTTGTCGAGTTGATGGCAGGAGATAAAGGTGTCTTTCAGATTCCAATAATTTAAAAGAGTTACCAAGAAAGCGAACAATTGATTGGTTAAGTCTGGCCTGCAGCAAGTGTCTGAATACTAAACGTATTCAAAAGGTCAGCATTAGGTAGCAAATGAGGATAAGAGTGCACGTTTTCCCACAAGCTCAATTCTCAGAGACTGAGCCATTGAAATACCAGAGGACCAAACAACATTACTGCTGCCAAGTGGGTATCGTCTCTAGTTTTGTTTATTGCAATGAGTCTATCATGAGTTGATATTACTGAATCAAATAATAATGC